CCCCTGGTCTAAACAGTCCAGAATCTCCCATTGGTGCTTTATTACGTTAAGATGCTGCAGAGGCTAAACAATGCACGGACGACATTAAAACAATCTGAACATTGCCAGGGACTCCTCACACCCTCTCCATCAACTGTTTGAACTGCTGCCATCAGGAGCATTAAAGGAAGAACCTCCAGACTGATCAACAGCTTCACACCACCAGCTGTCAGAACGCTGAACTGCTGATCCAGACATGCAAACACTTCTTTATTTAAACTGCTTTAAGTTACTGGATCCTGAAGGAACGTTCTCTCATCTTGCCTGTACTACTGTGTATGTACAGCAAAATGACAATAAACTTGATTTGATTTGAAAACCTCCTGCTGAACATGGTGCAGGTTCTGGTTGCAGCTTCAGCTCTTTGTCGTGTTCCTCGGACAGCTAATGAGCAGTTTATTTCATGCAGCAGGGCACAGTATCCTGGAGGGGATGTGCTTTGTCAATTTTAGTCAAAAAGATGTTTTCCACTGTAGGAACTTGTGGGCCATTTAAAATTATTTCACCCCAGTAAAACCTCTTTTAGGCCGTTTTCAGGGGGGAAAACAAGCGCCCACACTTGGATCGACCTGAAAAATTGCTGTTTCTTTCTAGTTTCAGGCTGTATTTTGTTCCTGTCACATTTTTACTCGCTGTGTGTTCATTTTTCACCACAATTTAAAATCCAGCACCTCTATGGGAACAGAACAAATGTGACTAGAAGCAGAGAGAACTCAAAAATGTATTTTTTGCAGTATGACAAAGTTATAATGCCATTACTCATTTAAAAAAAAAAAAAAAGTATCTCAAAAATTGAGCAAAAAAAAAGTTGAATCAACACGTACAACATTTATCCATTGGTGTTACTGATAGTAGAAAAAATGGTGACTCAACATACTTTAGATATTTTACATTTTTATAACGTCTACAAATGGACATTTTTCACATAACTCAGCACATCGACTCTAAATAGATATTGCTTCCTGCTGAAAGTCTCGTCCAACAACTTGCTGACAACTTGTTCCTCTGTACACTTTTTTTTTTTTTTTTAAAGATGCTGCATTTTATTGATCAAATATGTTTTTATTTTCCTCTCGATCTCTAATTTGTTTCCATACTTGTCTCCTCTCAGTTCAGCCAAATAGTCCCTGAATTTTTCGTCGTGCAAGTGTAGCTCACAGCTGAGTTACTCAGATGAGTGCAGGTTTTTTAGTTTTTACTAGATCTGGTGCAAGAAATTTCTTTTTTAACCTGTAAAATAAAGTGTTTTTTAATGAATATCAAGATTTCAAGGCTACATTTGGTGCATTTTCCCAACACATCGGACATGATATGTTTAGAAGTTTAAAAAAATCCAGCAATTCTTTTCACCATTTCTGGCTAATAAATGGTTGAACTTTTTTAACCATAACATGCCTTTTAAACGTGCCAGTGAGTTTTTGAGGTTCAGAGGGTTAAAAGAAGGTAAAAACTTTCTCATGCTTACTTGATTTAATGTACAGTGCTTAACACATTTATTAGACCACCTGTCTAATTTGTTAAGCACTGTATGTACGTATGTATATATGACGAGTTCATTTGCAAAACCAGATAACTCCATCTTCACAATCCTTTCAGAAAACCCACTTTTCCATCGTCTACCTGAGACAATATCAATCAAACTTACCTCTATTTTTTGTCATTTCTACTGAGTCAGTTCCACTCAACTTCAGTTTGATTGATATTATCTCAAGCAAACAACAAAAAAATAAGTTTTCTGAAAATCTACAAAAACGGAGTTATCTGTTTTTGCAAATGAACTCTTCATACAGACCATCAAGCGTCATGAAGTGCTTTAATTCGCACTCAGCTCTCTACGTTTTACCATTTTGAACAGGAATGAGGAATTCCAAAGTGAATTCATCTTTTTATACCAAAATCTAAGCCAGAAATTAATCAAACATGACATTCAACCACTAAAACTACATTTTTCTGTTCAGGAAGGCAAGTAAATAATTATAATTTGACGTCTTAATCAAGAAATAACAATGTGCTTTACTGTTTTTTCAGGGTTTCTTTGTAAAACAGTAAATCTGAAAATTCAGGCATAACAATAATAGTTATATTTTAGCATTAAAAATGTCACTTTGGTTAAAGACCTTCTTCATACTGGTGTATTAACCATTACAGAAATGATTTTGGTAATTACCAATGCTGTTAATGTCGGGCATAAACCTTACATCGTGTGCTGATCTATAAATTTGTTAAGCCTTGTACATTTTGAACAAACTTAATGAATGCAGCCTTATCGGCATTTAAAACGGCTAAATCTCATGGCAAACGTTACCATAGTTGGAGGATTTGCTCAAATGTCTTTCTGACTATTTAGGGAACACAGAGTCCAGAACAAAGTGAGTAAATGAAGCTTTTTTTGGTTCATACGGTACACTTTATTTACCCTTCTCTTTCAGGATAATGTGCAAAATAGGTTTTGTTTGTAGACATTTATGAGGAGATACAAAAACATACCTTGAATCAGCTGTCATACAAGCTGCTGCAGGTTTGTTGTTGTTGTTGTTGACCGAATGCAGCATGTGATGGTATCTGCATGTGTTTGAAACCAAGAGCTCTGTGGACATGCTGACGTCCCCTCAGGACAATAAATGGCATTCTGTATCTGGGAAGATAGGCCTGGCTGGTGTGATATGTTCATTTAGATTTAATTAGTCAGTTGTGTTTAATTAATTCAATTGTTATACTCATTAACTGTGTTTAATTAGTTCAATTAAATTCCGCATTCATTTTCCGAGGGAGGCAGCCAGGCAACGAGCAGCCATGTGAAATTGTCATTATTAGAGCAGCCATTATCATCGGCGGGTGTCCTGCCAGGGCGCTCGGAAAACATTTATTAACGCACAGCCAAGACATCCATAAGTAGTCTGCACAAAACTGACCCTCTGTGCGAGATGACTTATTAGAATATTTATTCGGCGTTTAATCCCCGCGCATGAGACACAGATGAAAACAAAGATTTCATTCGAATTGAAATGGATTGTAAGCCGTCCAATCAGAAAACTAACAGTGTCTTATGAAGGCATTAACATTCACGCGGTGTGTTCCTCGCAGGAACATGGAGTTCTCAGACCCATCCAGTCAGCTCCTCTCGCTCTGACAGCAAATGGTCGCCAGCGTTTAATCTAGTTCCTCTTCAAATGTCAGGAAGACAAAGGGCTTCATCTGTCACGGCTATCGATCAGGCATTATTCTCCGCCGCCGCCCCGATAGATAGCGCGTCCCAAGGCCCCGGCGCGGCCCACCAATCCCGCACCAGTCAGCTGGCATTAACCGGCAGCCCGCGGAGGATGCTTTCACTTAGTGCTCAGCCTATGAGTTTTACGCACATCATTACGGTGACATGACAAACGAGGGCGGGACGGCGGGTTGTGGTGCCCCGAGGGGATCCCGTCGCAAATGCCAGTCGACGGGGGCCAATGATGCGATATGATGGCCGATAGCCTCGTATGATGATGATGGTGATGAGGCTGGATGTCTGGGCGGCTGGCAGGAAAAAGGTAAAAAAAAAAGGCGGGAGGGGAGGGAGGAACGGCTGTGGGAGGAAGTATTTATATGGAAGATCCATATTTGTCTAATCTCCTCGCGGCCAGGCCTGCCAGACAGCGCCCACGGTATTTAGAGAGCAGAGCCAAGGCCTATCTTTGCCCCTCATTGACTCTTTACAGTCTGGCAGGCTTCCAGAAGACAACCGACTCGGGAAAGAGGCAAAGAAAGAAAGAAACGTGGGGGATGAATGTCACCTGGAGTTGGGGTTGAAAGGCGTAGGGAGTGGATGTTGGAGCGCGGGTAGGTTTCACATCCTCTCGTTGGGAGAAAGCACCAGCTCTGGCCACCGCTCACTGACATGATGTGTGCGGCAGCCAAGTCAATGATGGATGGCATGTTATTGCTCCCACAGGTCTCGCTGGGCACAGTTCCAGTATGATTGCCAGCCCTCGGAGCAGAGCGCCAGCGGCTGCAAGCAGGAGAACTACGGAGCATGTCTACTTGCATACACCGGCCTGATAGGTAAGAACTAAATCTTTTGCGCTGCAGCTCTGGCTTCGCCCACCTTCTTCCTCCCCAGTGATGGATCGGGAACGGAGAAGGTTTTCAGAGGGAGGAAGGCGGAGAGCAGAGAACGGGACTCAAAAGAATGAATGAAGGATTGCGATGAGAAGCGAGCCTCTTTCTGTGATCGATGGAGAGCTGATTAATGTGGCTGCAGCGTGCCCGGCCCAATCGTTGGCATTATAAGCGGCGCAATTACAACTATTGACTGATGTTTTGAGAGAATTATCCCCGATGTGACGGCGGGCAGAGGAACACGGCTTATTGCGCTTTAGATAAAAAACTTAACAAAAGATCGGATAATGCGCACAAGGCCGTTAAACACCTCTCAGTTCAAACATGTCATTACGGGACGACAATAGCACTCCGAACCTCTGCAGAAAGAGGGGTTTGTGTGGAAGTGAAGGAGGCAGATAAAGGAAGAGTGAGAGCTGTGCAGAAGTGATTGGCCATTGTGGACAACTGAAGCAGAAGTGAGACTCCGAGGTGTTGTTGTTTGGAAGTCTTGAACCCAGAAAAAATCGATGGAGGTAAATCTGAACTTTTTTTTTTTTGCCACACAGCCTCAAAAGTGCAGCAATTTTACTCCTCACCCCTTAAAAATACAAGCTGCAAGGCTGTATTAACCTTCCTGGAGAATGGCTTTCCAATCATTTCCTGCTGAAACGCTCCAAAAGGTAGAAAAAGAATAAAAAAAAAGAATACACCATTTGGGATGATGCCTGGACTTATGCCTGCATTTATCAGAGCCCGCCAAGCTCCCTGCAGCGCTGGATATGCATGTTTGGGAAATTTATAAAACTAAAAGAAAAGGGACTTGCTGCTTGGACCTGATCTGGTGCAGCATCAACACATAAGACTCAGGAAGAGATCAAGAGGAAGATGTTACACAAACTAGCAGCTCGGGGTTTTTTTTAACGTAAATGAGAAGTTTATTTTAGTCCATATTTACTGGTTTCCACACTAAACCCCTTTAGAAAAGAAGGAACACATGCAGAGTTAAGCCCCAAAAGGACTCATATTCATGCCAAATTGTGATTTACGGTGATTTTTTTATTGACTGGGAGGTTTCTTCTGGCTGGAAGTGACACAAACAAGTGAGAATAGATGGCCAGACTTTATGTTAAAGATGTTAATGAACTATTTTTAGTGAAAATGCCATGTCCAAAACTATTCATCTTTTGCAACCACATGAATCAAACCGTTCTAGTAATTGCGAGCAACCCTTTGTCTTTACTGGGATTTTGTTCCACTCCTCTACAGATTCTTGATGGGTTGCTGGTTTTTGTTGACCACATTTTTTCGACCCCTTTCGGTGTGTGTTTTTGTTTTTTTTCCCACTGTCTCGTAGGATGTTTCTCAGCACACCGCCTGATGCTTTCCTCCAGAATCCTAATGTTGTCTTCTTTTCCCACGATGCCGCTTGGCTGAAAAACACTCCTGAAGCATCACATTCCCTCCACTGCGGTTGACCGTGAGGATGGTGTTCTTGGGGTTGAATGCTGCTCCTTTATGTGGACGAATGAAAGCCACGTCTCCTTGTCCAAACAGCTCCATTTTCAGCTCTTGTGACCGCAAGCTTCTTTGTCCAGGTGAACTTTTGTGCGCCTGTCAGAGAGGAATTGAGTCCTTCTTGGCCTTCGTCCATCGAATCCAGCCTTGTTTAGTGTCCTTGTTGAGATGCTGGAAGCAAAATTACTCAGATTCATGTGGATGGACTCGACAGCAATCCACATATTCTTTTCTTTTAGCCTTTAACGCTGCCGTTCTTGCCAATGCAGGATTGACTTGTTGCGGTGCCCTTTGAGATTTTTCCACATGGAACACCTTGTACTTTTCTGATGACGCTTTGCACCGTGTGGCCTCACACTTGAAAACACTTAAAGGTGGCTTTATAGCTTTTCCCCCCATCTTGAGAGCATCCACGATGTGCAACAGCAAGCTCTTTGGTTTCAGCTATGGCGTGCAATTTACTCATAACCGACAAGAGAGCTAATGCATCAGCTGTTCTGAACTTGCAGTATGTTAGAATAGCCTTGTAGATGGTGTAGAAGCTGCATTTTCTGGACAAGAAATTGCAGCAATTTCCGGGGTATGAATAATTTTGGACACATTTTTAATAGAAATGGTGACAATTCATTTTCAAACAATGTCTTGCCATCTTTTTGAGTCATTTCCAGAGAGAAGAAAACCTACTGGTAAAAGAAAAACCCGGCGTAAATCAAAAGTTGTCATGGGGATGATTAATTTGGAGTGTAACTGTGGCACACCTTTGCTGACTCAAGCAGGTAGGCTCGTTGTTAAATGCTGACTGGTCCAGTCCCCGCTGCAGCATTAACCAAGCTGCCAGTCGTTGTCTCTGTTCACTCTGCCTTCATCTGCTCCTCCTTCTGAATTCCTCTCACTTTCCCTCTCAATGAGTACATTTATATGCACACTAATAACTCAGTCTTAACCTGATTAGGGCAATGCTGTGATGATAGAAATTGCCATGTAAACGCCTTTATTTGATTACCGTAATCAGGGTAAGGTCATAATCAGGCTAAGCATAACGAGATTAAATCAGCCAGAATTCTGCCCGTGTGACATTAAACTGCTCAGTCAGTCAGACGCTTTCTCGCCTCTCTTCAGACACATTTTTATGAGGGTGTCGGGATGAAACGGGGAAGCAGGTAGGAATAACAAGAAGACAGCGGGAAAAAAAAAAAAGCTAAATATTCAGCTCGGTTCAGCTAAATCAAAGAGATTGCTTCGTGTTTGTGTGAGCTAACTTAAGGTCAGATTCAATCACTGTGTTGTAACTAAGCCTCTGAGTGCAGGAGAAGCTGTAAACATGCAGACTCGTGTCGTTTCCTCCCCCTACAGGAAGCACAATAACTCCCAACTACCTTGACAACTCCACATCCAACGTGGGACCGTGGTGCTCCTGCGCAGCCAGCGGCAACCACAGAGAGCAATGCAACGACTTCCTCACCTTCTTCCACGACAACATCTGTCTGAGTGAGTAACGGCTGCACAGAGACGACTCTGACAATGACGCCAACAGAGTCTGGAGCTTGGATGGTTTTTTTTTGGAGGCTAAACTGAGCTAACGTGACTGTTCACATTTGCTGCTGTCAGAACTCCATCTGTAGGTTCACAAATGAACAAAAGAATGCAATTTTGCGACAGTTAAACTTCATCACAAATAGCAGTAGACCCTTTTCTTTTGACCCCCTGAACCCAAAGCAATTTCTGGACTTTTTTTATTTGCTTTTTTCCTCACCGTGGCCTCATTGTGCTGCAATAAAAAAAAAAAGTCCTGCACCTCAATGGAAACAGCACAACAATGGCTGGAAGTAGAGAGAACCCAAAAAATATCCTTTGTGCAGTTATACGCCATAAATCGTTTAGAAAAGAGCAAAAGTAGGATTTCTTCGATTATTTATTTTTAATAAAATGTTTAAAACCTGGACTGAACATGTACAGCTTTTGCCCACAGCTGGGACATATGGCCGCCATGCATACTATAGCTGTTTGACTACTTTCATTTTTAATTTGCTTCCATATTAATCTTTTATCTGCTGCAGCCTGCAGTTCAGGACCAACAAAAAAAAAAGCCAGAATTTTTGTCACCTGTCGCCTGGTCCAGCCTGAGTCAATGATTGCTTCAAGGTTGTGCCATGAAGAGCGTAATTTTTTTGTATTTTACAGAATTCATTTGTAGTAAATGGTTTACTTTGGTGCGATTTTTAACACAAGACTCGTAGCTTAAAGTGAAATATTACAATTTTTAGGCTTACATTTGGTTAAATTTGAGTTCAAGGACAGTCTTAAAGTTTGAAATCCCACGATTTTATCTGTTATTCTGGTTTCTGGCTCTGACAAATGGTGTAATTTTGGCAGGGTTTTTTTTTTGGGCTTTTTAAACCCACCGGCAGATTTTGGAGTTCAGTAGGTTAAAAGGCGATTTTGTGATATTTTGTGACCCACTGCCCTTAAATTGGCTGTCAATTGCCCAGAAAAAATTACATTCTTGTCCTTGCTGTGTAGAAAGAGCTCAGAAACCACATTTAATTGTCACATCAACGGCTTCATTTTTAAAATAGACATAATAGCTTGAATAGAGTTTTATTGCCATTTGGTACATTACAGTCCAAGCACATTGGAATTCTTTGTGCACTTTCTCATGGCAGCTTTATAAATAGGAAAAAAGAACAGAAAAGACAGAAAGAGGGAGTTGGGAGTTAGTTTAATTCCAATATCTTTGTGTTTTCAAACTCCCCTTTGCTACGAGAAACAAGATGCTTGGAGGATTTTGATTGATGGAAGTTGATCTTTTAACTCTGGCATTGACGTAACCAACATATTGATCCACTTATAGACTTCTGCAATATCCGTTTGATTGATTTCCGTTAGCGCCACTTAGTATTTGCAAATAATCTGCGGTTTTAATGAGTCCACTCCAGAGCTAAAGTAAATCCAGGGTTTTTTCCGCTACGGCGCCGATTATCTAATTATGTTTGTCTGTTTTATCAGGAACAGTCGTATCATGCATCGGCTTATGCCTGTCTGGTGTAATTTAGCCATTTTAATTACAGTGCTCACTTCTGCACGTGCAAATTTTCGCCCCGACACTATTTTGCAGGGTCACCGTCGCTGCATTCGGGGCTCGGAGCCGCCCAAGACAATTTTGACGAGTTCAAAGAAACACAAACCAGCCAGAGTGTTTTATTTCCTCTTAGAGCAGAATGATAATTGGTACAGTCAGACCATTGCAGGTGTGAGACTAAGGGGAGTGGTGATCATTTCACCTTCCTATTTGCTTTTTTTTTGCACAGAGCATCTTACGAGAGGAGTCGTGTGAAGAAATGTGTTTGAGCTTTAGCGGTATTTTTTAACCGGCTGTTTCCTCCTGCTAAACCGCTAACTGAGCTCACTCTCTAATGGCTGCAGCTCTGTATTTAAACCGCAAAGCGAGTAGTTAGTTATTCGCCATTAAGTGGGGCTTAGTTAGCGCTGTTTCAGCTCCTCGATTTACCGGCTGTAGTTAACGCAGTGCGAGCGGCGCTTGAGGCTCTGTCGGATTTTTTGAAAGAGGAGGGTTTTTATGTTTTCAAATAATGAGCACATAAAGGATGAGGAGATGCAACAATGCAGAGAAAAATGAGAAAAGACTGCAAATACTGAGAGGCAGGGATGGTGGCACTGGATTTGTATTTGGATTGATTGCAGAGTCTTTAGTTGTTGTTTTTTTTTTTATATTGACATGAAATACAACATTTCTGGTGTTAGGAAACCAAATGGTGCGAGTGTCACAATAAAGACAACACTTGATATTCATTTATTTATTCACACAAATAAATAAATGATTGTTGGAGAGTTGTGGCCAACCAGTGACATTTATGAAACACTACAGCTGGTGGCACCCGGTAACAAGTTAACACGTGAACTAAACACCGATCAACCTTAACACCAGCTGCTTTATGTTGTGCATCTCTGACCCGACGGTGGTTTTAATGTTGTGAAAATGTGCAGAAAGAAGCTACGATACACTAATAAAGCTGCAATAACAGAAGCAGATGCTAAAAACAAGACACCGTGTCGATCCATAGGAATTATCCAGCGATCCTCTGTAGTCTTTTGCTTTTTTCTCGTAGCTTTTGATTCATCAAACGGCGGCAACAAAGCGATGATGGGAGATCATCCCTCCTGAGTGAAGGATCGCAGCGGTGACAGAAGGATGACAAAAGTGACAAACTAATACAAACTGTAGCTGCTGGTGTCTCAGACATCAGAGTTTATTTTTTGAGTTATTATTTCTCCCAACAACAAAAGAGTTCTTACGAAGCTGTCGGCGTGAGTTACAACGCCGGTGACAGACCGACGACGCCGGCACAAAGCCGAGTGTATCGTCGCGGTGACAAAATACAAGGTCATTGTTTGCTAAGCTTATGTAAGGCTGTCATGCGTGGAATTAATTATAATGAAGTGGCGGCGGCTGCTCGTCGGATTCCACCAGACGCTGCAGCATCACGTCCTCCACTGCAGCTGCCGGCGTGTCATCGACCACGTGACCGCGGCGTCTCGCCCAATCAGCCCGGTGTCTCTCCGGGTTTATTTCAGGTGGACACGCTCTCATCTCAGGTGTGAAATTCACTGTAACGCTCCGGATTACAGGCCATGAATTTAACTTTGCTCGTTAGAGAGCGAACAGCTTGCCGCGCTTTTCTCCGTGCCGCGTGTTGTCCAATAACTGACGCGTTCGGAGCTTTAATTGTTTGCGGCGCGATGATACGACGGGACATAAAAGCTCGTCAAGGTTCCGCCGTAAAATCGGCTTTCATAGTCAGATGGATCCCATATTGGATGCCTGCAACTCCTCTACAGTGTTCAGTCATCGTTTTAAAACCACACACTAATATTTTATAGCTGCGGCTCTGCTAGTCAAGGCTTAGCTCAGTGTTTTGTTCCCCTCGATTCAAACCGTACGTTAACAATAACTGGTGCTCCAGTTTAAAAACAGTAACATCACAAAATGCTTTCATATTTTCCTCTAAAAGGCTCTTTACATCCATGTTTGTTGGTTAAATTTGAACTTTTTGTTAAAATCGAAGCCACATTTAACATAATTCTGTATTTACTGCCAGTTCAAATTGAAATACACTGAGGAGCCCTTTTGATTTAAACTCTAGCTGTCCTTAAATAAAGTCTGATCCAAAAAGAGCCAGGTCAAATTGCTTGTGTCATTTGTACACCTTTAAGTCAACATCATTAAGCCATTCATAAACAAGATTTTTGTACAATAAACTTCCACCGTTGCTGACAGCAATAATAACAGACTCCTGCATACTGTGTTACTTGCAAAAAATCTATTTATTTGCGATTTAATTGTAAGGTCAATGCCAGATCTTTGTCAGGCTTTGTTAGAAAGAGAAGCCTTTGAAATAGCGAGCTGCTGTAACTCTGCAACTAAACACATCCCCCACGATCTATAGGAAGCCATGGATCCCATTCATCATTCTACAATCACATACAGAATGTTATTTTTTTAGAGATTTTTTTTATTACTTCCTTCAAAGACAGAAGTTTACATAGATGTCCTCAGTATTTGGTAGCATTGCCTCTAAACTCTATGACTTGGGTCAAACGTTTTGGGTTTCCTTCCACAAGCTTCTCACAATAGTCTGATGAATTCTGGCCAATTCCTCCTGACAGAACTGGAGGAACTGAGTCAGGTTTGTTGGCTGCCTTGCTCCACACAGCTTTTCAGCTCAAATGTTCTACAGGATTGAGATCAGGCCATTCCAAAACATTGACTTTGTTGTCCTGAAGCCTCTTTGTAACTAATCTGGCGCTATGCTGAGGGTCATTGTCCATCTGAAGACCCATTAGTGCCCAAGCTTTAACTTCCTGCTGATGCCTTGAGATGTTGCTTCGATATAATGTTCTTTCCTCATGATGTCGTCTATTGTGTGAAGTGCACCAGTCCCTCCTGCAGCAGAACACCCCCACCACATGATGCTGCCACCCCCGTGCTTCACAGTTGGGATGGCTTTGTTAGGCTTGCAAGCTTCCCCTTTTTGACGATGGTCATTAAGGCCAACCAGTTTAATGTTAGTTTCATCAGACCACAGGACATGTCTCCAGGCATGAAGGTCTTTGTCCCTGTGTGCATTTGCTTTTTTCTGTTTCTTCTGGAGTAATGTCTTCTTCCTCTCTGAGCAGCCTTCCAGACCATGTCAGTACAGGACTGATTCCACTGTGGATAATGACTCTCTGACCAGCTTCAGCAGCATCTTCACAAGGTCTTTAGCTTTTGTTCTGGGGTTGATTCGCACATTTCAACCAAAACACTTCATCTCTGGGACACAGAACCCATCTCCTTCCTGAGCGCTACGATGGCTGGACATTCCCATGGTGGTTATACTTGATAGAACTGTTAGAACAGATGAACGTGGAACCTTCACGCATTTGGAAATTGTACCCAAAGATGAACCAGACTTGTGGAGGTCCACAGTTCTCTTCC